CCCCCCCCACACACACACATACACGCCATAGCCTCGTCTGTCCATCAGATTTGGTTGTGTTAGGCTGTGTAAGGTGCTCGCTCAAGAAATGTGAAACACGGTCAGATGTGTAAAATAAACACATCTCATCCACGTCACAGCTACAAATAACTCAATTCGTTAAGTTTAAAAAAAAAGGGTCGGTAACTCCATAGGGCCGAAATGTTTTGTAACCAGTGTTGTCGCCCCTTGCTGTGACGGCCGGGCCATACAAATGTGTCTCCCCCACCTTAATGAGGACAGTTGTGTCGTCTGTTAGCATTTAGCTGGCATCTGTTTGGCCAGGTGCCAGATGTGTCAGTGACAACAAAAGGCTTGTGTCAGGACCCGTGCTATCAGATGACATGTGTAAATGTCAGTGTCGGATCACCAGTGTACTTGTCATTAAGTGATGGTCAGTGATGTCATTGATGACCACTGTTTGTCATTTAGTGATGTCTACAATTCACTGTCATTTAGTGATTTCTACAATTTTTCATTGACCGTTACATACCACATAGCCCTATGTCACCGTTGACCATGAAACATACGGAAGTCACCAAATACCACATGAAAGAAACTCTCGATCAGAATCTAAAGTCACTAGTTGGTGATCAACACCCAAAACAACATCAAATGGGAATACAATGAGAACATCCCAATAATATCAAGCAGTGGCGTAGCAAGGGGGACACACACCATTTAGGGGGGGGGGGGGTGACACCAAGGCAAAAAATAGCTAAATATATACAGAAAAATGATAATTCCACTTTAAGTGATTGATTCGAGTGTTAAATAGTCTTTTAAAAGGTGCAAATCGATAGTTTGAGGGGGGGGGGGGCAAATTGAAAGTGTTTGTGGACGGGGTTAAAATCGACAGTTGAGGTGTGGGGGGGGGGGGTGCAAATCGAAAATTGAAAGTTTGTCCCTGGGAAGGGTCGACACGCCTCTGGGGGGTGACACCATTAAAGGCCGCACCGGGTAACACCTGACCTCGCTACGCCACTGATATCAAGTCTTGTTTTGTAAACAAACTACCACCATATTTGATTCTCATCACGTGAGCTGGTATTTACTTAATACTGTTTGGCGTGTAGAGAACGTTAAGATTTGGGTAACCCAGTTGTAACGGACACCTATCTACCAGCCAGATAGATGGTGAACGCCCCCGGATTCTTTCTTGGGGTTATATGCAAATGGCCTAAAGCCTAAATGAATGAACACTAACTCAACAACACACTAGGGCTCGATTTCGAGGTCTAGGGAAAACTAGTGAAACTATTGAAGTTAACAACTCATTCAATCTGCATACAACCTTTAATAAGTGAACACAGTTGTGGCAGAACACAAGGTTAAACAAGATAAAATATTTAGTTTAGAAAATAACAAAACCCAACTTACAAAGCGTAAGAAAAAATACTATCACAGATTCTAACTCTTTATAAAAATAGCCACAGGTCACATAACACTGCTATAGCATCAAGAATCACTTGGCCACAAGTAATATAATACTAGAATACTTAAACAACTTAAGAATGCATAGCACACTCAGGACTTAAGCTCTCTCACGTTCAAATGGTCAGAATGGACTGCCGGACAAAATGGACGGCCTGGTCAAGATGGACTGCGTGGTCAGAACGGACTGCTTCGTGCCGCCTGTGGGCGATCTAGTTATAGAATTAGGCACCAGGGGAGGTTACCCTCAACTCATGTGGCCATTGGTTGGGGTGGTCATCTGGTCTGAATCAATCAATCAGATCTTGATGGAAAATTTCTGAGTCTTAGACTCTCTTAGTAAGACAGGGGAAAAAACCCGGTTGTTGCACCATCGACCATATATGGTATTATAACAATGTCAAAATAAAACATCACTAGACCTAAGTAGGTCACACAGTCAATAACAGACATTACCACTTGATTCACAAATTCTCCCTATTCTTATGTAGAAGCTTATGTTTCACTGGAAACAGTTTTGAAATTGATACTCCACATTTTTAATGTTATACACACTCTCACCATTTCAAACAATATACCCAGTCCAACAAAATTAAACCTTTAAATGAATTGGAAAGAAATGTTATTGTTATGTTATCTATAGAAAGTTGTAACAATTCACTCCCTGTCCAAACACATCGAGTTTACCTCGCTCAGCAAAACAAAAGGGACGTAACTCGGTCTAGAGGGAGACAATTACACGCCATTATTTAAAAAAAAAATCTCGAGTAGTTTAACAGGTCCCTGTCATTTAAAAGGTCACTCATAGCGACGGGAGGAGGGGTGGGGAGAGGGGGCAATTTCGTGAGCGTACAATGGGGACATGTACGGCCGAGGGAATGGAATACAAAAATTTGTTTCAGACAAACATTCGCTTGTTTCAATGGCGGGGGGTAAAGCTTGGGTTAATGCACTTTGTGTTTAAACAAAGAGAACGGGCCCCAACACACGGCCTGTCCCCGTGTGATTGCCCAAACCTCCGTGCCCCCCCCCCCCCCCTCCTCCGTCCTACTTTACCTGCACAGCTGTCTGTGACGACCTAGAATTTTCCCGCTGACAATTGTAATAAGACGAGCTGTTTAGATTCCTCTTAGAACATGTCAAGACGTTTCGCCTTCTGAACATTCTGTAACAGAGAACTTTCAATTGTCCCCATACCTGCAGACATACAGTAGCACCGTAGACGATACTGACGATAAAGCCCAGTGTAGCATCGATGGTTAGTCTAGTTTGTGTTTACATATTTCTGTATGGGGGTCATCCATAAATGACGTCACGCTTTTTTGACGTTTTTACCCCCCCCCCCCCCCACCTCCCCTCCGTCACACGTCTTCACAAAAAGCCAGACCCCCCCCCCCCTAAAATGTCGTCACACCTCAGCCTACAACCCCCCTCAAAATTGCTGTTGAAATTTTCTTAAAACATCGATATTTTTCAAAAATCTTGTCAGAACTGTCAACATAGAGTATTTTTTTTCAATTCTTATTACAATTTATTAAAACCGTTTTCTAAAACGCGAAATAACGGCTAAAACTCGTTTTCTAACATTTCTTTTTTACAATGCAAAAAAGTGACGTCACCCCCCCCCCCCCTTCCGTCACAAAATTACTGACCCCCTCCCCCTACGAGTGTGACGTCATTTATGGACGACCCCTATCTTCTTATTCCATGCTAACTTCACATATGTGGAAATCGGACGTTCACCCTTGTAAACCAAAATTTACGAGTTGCACAAATTGAAAAACAAATTGAAAAACAAATTGACAGTTATAAAAAAAACAGTTCAGAGTTTAATGGACGCTAAAAACAACACGCGTCTGTCGCCCAGACATGTCAATTTGTTTCAAGGCTATGTCTGCGCTCCTCGCTCGTGTCTTGGGTACTACGTAATCATTGTATGCGTGGTACGTAACCCAATAGCAACGATGTTGTTTCAGCACTTCTTTACCGGACGCTGGGCTATTTCTAGACGTGACGTAATACTTCCTGGTGTGTCCAGCGCGCGACTGACCAGAAGTATCCCGCGTGTTTAGAGTTGGCCAAGTTGCCGGCACATACGCACTAATCAATAGGTGGTGTGGGTGATGTCTGTTTCAGAACATATCCATTGATTGATGCGGTAATCGGATCGGGTTGGCCTTGGTGTTGTTGCTTTGTGTTGGTCACGTGATGGGGCCGCCTGTCAGGAATGATTTCCCTTTGGTGGTATCATGGCAGGGGACTTAACTCCGGGCTACTCATTTGCTGCTGACTCCTCGCGCTAATTCCATTTCGCTGTGTGTTGGGGGGGGGGGGGGGGGGGGGGGGGGGGGTGAAACTCGTTTCATGCATAACACCTGTAGTTTTTTCCCATGCTGGGTACTGAATTGTGGCTCACAAAAATTAGCTAAGATTAATGTCTTGTAGTCTTGCAGGTGGGGAGGGGCAATTCTGAAATAGCAATTGACCCAAGGGTTGTAAGCTGTTTACGCTTGTTTGTATATGTAACTATATGTGGTTGTTAGTAGACCTATATGTAATTTTGTATGTAGTTGTTAGTATGTCTATATGTAATTGTATATGTAGTTGTTAGTAGGTCTATATGTAATTGTATATGTAGTTGTTAGTAGGTCTATATGTAATTGTATATGTAGTTGTAAGTAGGCCTATATGTAACTGTATATGTAGAGCTACCTATGAAATAACCACTTCACCTCTATTTGTTTCTGGAAAATGCCATTGTTGAAAACCATCGAAGCATCCGATGTGCTAAATTTTTAATAGAGTTTTGTAACCAGAATGGCCTGTGTCTAAGTGATGTTTTAATCTAATCTGTTCTCGCTGGTTAAACATAACCACATATTTGCATTATTCTAACCCCAATCTAACCCATAAGGTTAATAAATATCACTACAGGCGATACACGTTACGGTAATATGGGTTTTACAAATCGATACATTTTGTACGTTAAGACATAAAATATGACTTAGGTACAATGGTACCGGCTATTCGTACAGTGGCTGTCTCCGGTCCAACTTTTTTACAACCCCGACATAATACGATTAGGACTGTGTTAGTTTAAACCCGTCAACGGCACTGAAAGCCTAGCTCGTGTCGCCTCACAAAAACAACACAGCCCATCCCTGTGTCTCGTGTCTGTCCAAATAGTGTCTCCTCTTTCAGTCAACATTTTTTGTGTGTCCACGTTTGACTGAACTTCAGTACCACAACCCCCGCTCGTGTGTGTATACTTGCGACGTGAATTCGCTAAAAGACGATAGATTTCATGCATTGATGGTACGCTTTTCAGCCATGCGAGACTTCGACGAGATCCCCCCCCCCCCCCCCCCATATCTGTCTGACACTTGTCTCGCCTAGCTCGGTGAAGAGGTTATAGAATTGTATCATTGAGACGCGGTAGGCTTGTCAAAACTCCAGACAAGCAGATGTAGGTCCGGGTTTGGTGGGGCCCGTGTTGTGTCATAGGTGTACGGGGCGGGCTAATCTGCCGTGTGATGTCAACACAGCTAGCTCTTCATTCACAGGCTTGTCTACAGGTAGCGCAGGTCTTACAGTGAAAACAGCTGGATCATTAAGGGATTTAATTAATTACACACAAGGTAAGAGGATTTGACTGATTAAGCGTTAACGGTATAGAAAACACGAACTTCGATTTGAGAAAGACTCGAAGTAATTTTAAACTATAGACTAGAGCTGTTAAATCTAGGATTACCAAATCTGGTTGACTAGGCTGACTCAACGGTTGTATTGTCTTAACATTAAGATTAATTTAACCTAATGGTGTTATTCTGCTTTAAACAGTTGAGATACATACTATTACATAGACGTCTATATTAATTACTGACATAAGTTTGATCTTTTTAATTGGAGACCCATTTACCTCTCATTAGCCTTTAATTATGCGTGGAAGGTAATCTATCGTTTTAGCGTAATCAATTCGGCCGGTGCTAGTAATGTAGGGATAAGGTAACTAATGAATATGGCTTAAATATGAATATATTTTTGCATATTGTATTAAAATACTAAAGATAATTGAATATTAAACCATAATTTAAGGTTAAATCAATAAAAATATCATGAAATTAACGTTTAACAACGATGTTCCAGATACTAAATTTGCTATCAAAAACAGCGGCCATCTTAAGAATGTATTATTTTGAGTCATTTCCCCTTAATTTCTATTTGTATGAAAATGTATTGCTGTTTGCTAGTGAATGCGATTGTCTTGTTTTTAAATACAGAGTATGCTTTTTTTTTTAATTTCTGTTCTTTAAATAACTTAATTGACTGACAATAAACATCATCAGTTCTAGAATTATTATTATGAGATGCAAAATTAAGGAATTAATGAAGTTCCGATTTTTGTAGAGCTACTAATACTAGATCTAAATTAATCTAATGTTTAATTAACTATTAGTTTATTAGTTTGAGTTAATTGTTATCGTTTGTTTGCTTTTTTATTTCATATTTTCATGTTTTTTTTTTCTTTAATTAGTGATTTAATCATAAATGACGTCACGTTTTTTGACCTCTTCACCTTAACCCCCCCCCCCCCCCCCCCCCCCCCATTTTCGCCGTCACGAAATAGTCGTAATGTCGAAAATTACCTTTTTGCCCTGCCTGTTAAAAAGTCAAGCCATAATTCTAACGAAAAATAATTTTTTCAGCATTTTTATATTAAACGAAATACATAACGTTTCACGCTTCTTTAAGACTTGAGCTTGGCCCCTGTTGACACCCCCACTAGCGCCGCTTATGTCCACATATTAATCACAAGTTTCGCGTGGAGCTTAATCGGCAGACGAAATTTATAGGTGGGACTGGGAGCCTAAATGCATTTACGGAAGCCGTTGTGTCACGGGCATTTTTATAGCCGAACGTCTCAGGGCAGCATGTTGCAGAAATTAAAAGCACGTGAATTTGTATAGTAGAGGGAGAACAGCATGCCACTGTAATAAATTAAACACCAATATAATTCACCGAACTAAAGTCATTTAGATCTATTCGTCAGGCTAAACGTCGCTAAAGTCTCAACAACATAGTGCGTGTTTTGATTTTTTTTTAATTACGCGGTATCTCTTTCTTTAACATTAGCCTAATGACAAATGACGTCACGCGCGCCGCGAACTATTTGATGTTGTGCTTAGTGGGGGATGAATCGGCGGGGTTGAGAAAAAATGACGTATTTCTTTTTTTTTTAACAGACGAATAAGTGATAGATTCTTATTTTCCTACGAACTATAGGTTGATATAGTTTTTTTCTAGAGGGAGATATCACCATACAGTGGGTGTTTTTTTTTTTTTTTTTTTTTTTTTTTTTAATAATGTATGGTGGGGAGGGGTAAACATCGACTACTGAACAAATAAAAAACTAATGAAAGCAGAAGGCAAAGAAAGAAAAATAACATGTGGTATTCAAATGTAACTAATTAAAATTGAACCTATTTTTATAAACACAATAATCTTAATTCAGAAAAGGTGTAGGCCTAAGACTAATGTCTACAGACAAAATAAACAACTAGGCTTAATGGATCACTCATAAATGACGTCATACTTTTCCCGATGAATTCCCTTTCCCCCTATCGTCACTAAAAGCAAGATGATGATTTAATATCATAATGCAGTTGTACTATACCCCAACCCTTAATCACAATTTCTAACGAAAACGAATATATTCTTCATCATTTAAAAAAAAAATATTTCACCCCGTCCCATATTTTGAGTCCAACGTCATTTATGAGGAATATGGACGACCTAGTCCTAATAATTGACAAGATAATCAGTACAAAAGGGTTTAATAAATGTTGGACCTCCCAAAAGTCTTTGAGATCTTGGATGTACATACATGCATAGCCTTAATTTCAATTGAAATTAAAACTAAGACGGCCCTCTGTCCTTCTTTTATTAAACAAGACAGCTATGTATATTAAACTACAAAATCAACACAATATACATACGAATAGACATGTGTATCAAGGGAAACTACTCTAAATTTTATTTGGAAAGATGGCCGCTGTTTTTATCTGCTAATTGTTATCTCAAACACCTTGTTTAAAGTTAGTTTCATGATATTTTAAATTGTTTTGTTCACTGATTGTTATTTTAAATCAATTATCTGTTATATATTGTAAAATTTGACTTAACTATACTTATTTAAACAAATATATTCATCAGTTACCTCTCCCGCACATTACTACTGCAGCCGAATTGATTACGCTAAAACGATAGATTACCTGCGTGGAATTCCCATCGCTAACGACACCGAGAGATAATGAAAAAATAGATCAAGTTGTGATCTAGACTCTAGATTTAGATCTGTCTTACTTTTTATAGCAATGAGCTGGGTATATTAAAGTCAGTAGATCTAGTTAAGTTCGAGAAGGGACGCCGCTATAAGGATTGTATGGCCTGTGATCAGCGTATTCTAATGTTTGTAAGGGTGTAACGCAATACTAAATCAAGTTGCCAATGGTGTAATACAATACACTATAAAATGTGTAAGGGGGTAATACAAGATGCCTTCAAACGACTGTTTCAATATCTCTGAATAAATAACAATGTTAGATTGTTAATGTATTTTATCTTAACAATGTATAAGCCCAAAGGTTGTTTTAAATTTTAAACTCGGCATTTTATAGCTATTTAATTAAATTTGATGTGAATAAATGAGATTAAAAAATATGCTAATTAAGTTGCCTCCTTCGGTTTTTTAAAATGCCGTTTGAAATAGCTACCACCAGTAGAGAGTTGAAATAGCTACCACCAGTAGAGAGTTGAAATAGCTACCACCAGTAGAGAGTTGAAATAGCTACCACCAGTAGAGAGATGAAATAGCTACCACCAGTAGAGATTTGAAATAGCTACCACCAGTAGAGATTTGAAATAGCTACCACCAGTAGAGATTTGAAATAGCTACCACTAGTAGAGAGTTGAAATAGCTACCACCAGTAGAGATTTGAAATAGCTACCACCAGTAGAGAGTTGAAATAGCTACCACCAGTAGAGAGTTGAAATAGCTACCACTAGTAGAGGGTTGAAATAGCTACCACCAGTAGAGAGTTGAAATAGCTACCACCAGTAGAGAGTTGAAATAGCTACCACCAGTAGAGAGTTGAAATAGCTACCACCAGTAGAGAGTTGAAATAGCTACCACCAGTAGAGAGTTGAAATAGCTACCACCAGTAGAGATTTGAAATAGCTACCACCAGTAGAGAGTTGAAATAGCTACCACCAGTAGAGAGTTGAAATAGCTACCACCAGTGGAGAGTTTAAATAGCTACCACCAGTAGAGAGTTGAAATAGCTACCACCAGTAGAGAGTTGAAATAGAGCCGGATTTGATGTGGTGTATTATTAGATTGACAAGCCCAAAAGTGGCTGTGGTATGTAATGTGGTGAAATGGGGATGTTGTCACCTAACGCTAATTCACGTTAAAAAAATAATAGTTTAATTTTGTAATATAACTCCAAGCCTATTTTTAGCAAAAAGATTTTTTAAGGTGGGTTCGGATTACATCGATGGTCACGTGTTTATTATTAAACAGCTCGTTAATTAGGCCTAGTTGCTTTTTCCCATCGCAATTTGCTAATTATGATTATAGCGGGATTATATCGCCGAAAAAAAGTAAAAAAAATATTTTCGTTTACATATAATTTGTTAATAATGTAGATTTAAAAAGTATTTAAAAATACAAATTGAAGATAACAAATGTATGCATTCTATATAGTGCTCTTAATTACAAACATGTAAAAATAGTATAATGGATGTTTTTTTTTTTAAAAACAAACACCGATTGTATTTAAATTAATTTTCAAGCTTACTCAGTTATCGTTAATGATTGGGTTTTTAACACTAACTTGAAATAATCGTTAAATATATGATACCCGTCACAACCAATTGTAACAAAATAAAAACCGACGAGATAAAGGCAGACTTGATATAAAGGCCGTCTTTGGTCCCAAAGGTCACAATACACACTGTTATAGGACAAGACCAATTGATGTATATGCGTACGGCAAAAACCATACAAAATAGTTGATTGAAAACTGAATAAACCATGTGTGCATAAATTTGCGTTACTTAGATTCTGAAATTATTATTGTGTTCAAATTCAAGTGAACAAAACAACTTGGTAGCTGATATGTTACTTATAAAATATGAGATTCAAGAATACTGGCCATGCAGCTACAGTAACTTAAATGCTTTAAAATGTATGCATTATCCGATAATAAAAAAAACCGCCTATATTCACAGCCTCAAAAGATTTTACAATTCTCGACCAGTACAGCGATATTTGAAATAATTTAACTTGTTTTTTCTCGCCCAACATAACTTAACAGCCCTCTAACACAATTAGTTCTTATTTGGCCAAGTTTGGCCAACTCTTAGAAATATTTTGGCAAGGATTTGAAATTTTGAACAGGCAGTCATGCTAATTATATGCAAGTTAAACCCGAGAATGCAGCGTTGACATGAAATATTTGGGTTAGCCAAGAACAAAACAAAGTCCAATTGTTCTACAAAAAGTATTTTGGTAGTGCTAGAGCAGTCTATTAAAACATACAATAGCCCGGTTGTTGGCAAAGTCTTGATGCTGTGGTCTGGTCACGTGTTGGTGATGTTGTCTATGGTCAATATTTAATGGGAGCTTGCCGTCCAAAGATGGACACACATAATCAATGTCCACGTGATAATTACAATCAGTGATTCACATAAGCTGACCATGTCGATGTAGCCCCACCGCCCCCCCCCCCCCCCCACATCGGTGTGGCTATTACTGCCCTAAGCGTCTGCTCTATGTGAACTAATTAGCAGTTAATTAGCCAGTGTTGTCCGCCCGTACAGAATCTGTGAGCAATCCAATACATAACCAGATGAATTTAGTAATCTCTCTGTATTATCTCTTCTTTTAATCTCAACACTTACCTCATTTTTAAATTTCGCAACTTCTTATCTCATTATCTACCTCATTATAATTTTTATTCAACGAACTTAAATCATCCCACCTGAGTATTACTCAGGCCCCCCCCCCCCCCCCTCACATCATCCTCACCTTCCTCTCCCCTCCCGAAATCCTCACTTCATACCGCTTTCTCCCCCTCCCCTCACCAATCTCGCAACCCCCTCCCACCATCCTCACCTCTTACCATATTCACCCCACCCCTCACCTTCCCCTTTCTCCTCAGATTTTAATTAACTTAGTCACGTGATAAATCCTTAAATTAGCTAACCCCACACTGTCTCAAACACTTCAGACTTCTAGATCAAGATACCGGGATGGTGGGGACAAAATCACCGACAAACAAACAAACAAACAAACAAACAAACAAACAAACAAACAAACAAACAAACAAACAAACAAACAAACAAACAAACAAACAAACAAACAAACAAACAAACAAACATATTCTAATGAAATGAAACCAGCCTCACAAAACTATGGCCAAGAAAGTAAGTCTTAAGAAAACTTTACAAATAGAGTCTTAAGAAAACTTTACAAATAGATTCACCATGGTGATTTCTCCGCGAATTTAAATCATCGCCCGGGGGGTTAAAGGATTAAACCTGATAAGCTTGATCATCCCTCACTATCGGTTCAATCATTAATCCTCTAGCTATGTAGTCAATATTGTGGAATTTTTTAAAGGAATAATTGAATAATACATAATGTTAATGGTCGTTTTCTTTTTTGTTAAAAAATTTCGTAAATAAATTTAATAAAAAAAATATTACTAAATTAAAAAAAAAACACGGTGCGAAAAATACAGTATCAACTGTGAAAAAGTATTTTGTATAGACATTTAAAAAAAAATGTTTATCAGTGTTTGTTCACTGTATGAAAATCATAAGCCTAAAATAGAAGCACCAATGTTGCGAGTGTTCCCCCCCCCCCCCCCCCCCCCGCCCCATTGATTTCCCCCCCCCCCCCCCCCACACACACAGACATTATAACCGGTACTTCTAGAACGGAACACGTTTAGTGTAATTGGACTCCAGAATGTATCCACATACCTTAATGTTTCATTGCAGAGCGGACCCCCCCCCCCCCCCCCTCCGGTAGAAGATCTCAAAGCACACAACGACACACTATCACATTTCAAATAGGACGACCCACCCCCTCCACATAACAGTCAAGTAGCAAACCTACACCCCCACCTCACCACCACTAGTTCTCAAACTACGGACATCCCCACCCCACGATCATAGTTCTACAGATGGACACCCCCTACCACCATCACTTGTTCTACATAAATACCCCCACCCCACCACCACTAGTTCTACAGACACCCCACTAGTTTTCACCGACGCCCCCTACCAACAGTAAATGACACCCCCTCCCGGCCAGCACTAAATGACACCCCCCTCCCCCGAAACATCCCCTCTAAGGAGTGTAGACAAACACAACAAGGCTCGACCTCTTACAACATTCCCTCAACATGTCCAGGCATTTAAAACAACTCGAGGTTAATTAATTTTGATCACGCGCTACGTGACGTAATTATCGCTGCACCAGGCAATATGATACGGGCGGAAGACGGGGAGGGGGGGGGGGGGGTGAAGAGAGATCCTGTCTTGTAAATTTTCCTGAGTTGCAGCCGTGAAGACATTAACCACCTGTTCACATTAAAGCATTGTTACACGATACGAGCTTTACTAACGATAACATAACGGAACGCTGACGGCGTTGATTTGAAGAGGTTATAATGTTAGTGTAACATGAACACGCCTGTTGAGAAGTAATTAAAACTGTGTTCACATTACTGTAGTTATAAGGAAAATAATTTACCAACATATTTTTTTAAAACACCTGCGTCTAATTAATAGCTTTCCTTAAAAAATCTCCACGACTTTAAAAAACCGTTTTGTCGTTAAAATTTAAAAACTGGTAACCGGCTACGGGAAACGAAATTAGTTGTATACAGATGTAGAGGAAGTTTGTTTTGACAAAAATTAATGCTTTTTTTTGGGTTCTCATTTAATTTGTATGGGAGTGTTAAACAAACGAGCGTCGGCAACGGTAAAATGTAAGCTTACATTTTGAAGGAAAATATGTTTAATTACACTTACACTAAGTTAGGCTCTGGTTCAAGTCTGTGGAATTGGTTTCTTGGAGTTTGCAGATCTGGTAAAAAATAAACCTACAGAAACGGGGATAGTGCTTCACCAAAGGGGTATGAGTGCTTCACCACAGTGAACAAGGGCCCTTTACTCCTCGATAACATAATAACATTAACAATGCGAACTGTTTCAGTAAAGCCTAGGTTTGAAGAAAAGTCGCGTCAAAAGTCACGGAACTGATTCAAATCCCTAAGATTAAGTAAAACATTAACTAATCCTAACGTTCTAACTGAAATCTCATAAAAGTAGCGATTTCTTAAGTTGTTTAAAAAAATAATGTCTGAAGGCCACCACCCATGACTGAAAAACTCCAAATTTTTAAAATTTATTTTCGTCAAAGACGTGGCGAGTATGTGTAGCGATTACAACGCCCGCATTAAATCCGAGTTGTTCCCCTTTATTCTGCTATTGCCGCTGTAACGTCCGTGTCAGCTAAACTCAGCACCATCCTCGGTAAGTGATAATTTACAGCCAATTTCAGCTGTCACTCTAGTAATGGCTTACCACAGCAGAGAGGGCGATCCTGTTAGCCTATCTCAGCTGTCTGTGTTTAAGTTGTCTAACGCTAATTATATCTGAACTTTACCTACCTTTAAATACAGCCCAAGTTCATCACAACTGTTCTTCTATTGATCAGTCAATTGATCCCCCCCCCCACCACTCCCACACTACATGCACATATGCCCCTTTAACTGCGTGCGAAAAGTTCGACTGTACAGATTGATTTTTTAGTCATAAAACTTAGCTCGAAAAGAATTTTTTTTTAAACTTACCTAGCCTTTTTTTAACACCTGACGATTGATTTAGTTACCTGCCTTGTGTATAAACTTTACGTGCACGGTTTTTAATTCTACCTGTACCTGTATGAATGTATGTCAACAGCACCTGTATGTATATCAGCCCTACGTGTATGGTTATATACCTTACCAGGATATGTATCAATCTCACCTATATGTAGTTCAGCCTCACCTGTATGTATAACACTCCTTCCCAAATGTTTATCAACCTCTATGTGATTATCAACCCGGATACATGTATGTCAACCACACCTTGATGTAAGTCAACAGTACCTGTACATTCATCAACCCTACTTGTCTGTATATCAACAATACCTGTCTGTATATCAACAATACCTGTAAGTGTATGAACTTTCCCCTTGAAGACATCAATAAAGATTTGCATATAAACGCCGAGCCAACAAGTTATAAACGGTTTATAATCTGCTCGGCAGTACAGAGCTATAAATGACAGCAGGGGGGATAGGCAGGTGAAACCGTCGTGACCTGGTAGTGTGTACACTAGTGTGTACCTTATCTACCTGTGTGTGACACACGACACAGATAAAACAATGTTTTCACCGGATCAAAGTCGGGCCAGCGGTCACCTTAGGTTAAAGTTGGTGATGTGTTACTAGATCGCACCGTGTTGGCGCATATTCATCGTCTGCTGGGGGTGGTGATTTAACGGTCAAAGTTTCGGGCATTAAACGCTGAGTAATTAATTTAATTACAGGTGTTGATTTAACTAATGAGTGAAGGTATTGACAGAGACGGTGACTGTATGACTTTAGAACAATGGAGTTTTAGTTTGGCTGTGTTTACTATTCTAAAGGATTGTTCTTCAGGTTGTGGTAGTGATTTAAGAACTTTGTGTTGTGAACTTTACTTTTATAGTTATAACGCAACGTTTGTGTTTACTCAGCTGTTGCAACATGTTTTTGTTCATTTCTCTACTTAGTGTGCATGTGTGGACATACTTTTGTGTTATAGTTTTAATTTTACAATTCTCATTAGCTTATTTTAATATAGAAAACTAACAAAGAATTGAGCTAACTAGCACACTGACAATTGTTTAAGCTTCTAACTGTACAGTTCTTGTCATTTTAAACAGGTTACTGTTGACTTTTCTTGGTCCAATTAACTTTGAAATCAACAAACATAAATTCTGTACTTTTTCTTACACAGATTGAAGGCGCACAAGAGTAGGCAAAAATATCAAGCACGACAAACAGTAGATCAAACTACCACACGATAACTGACCAATGGCCATCCGAATTAAGTGCTGAAGTGAAAACAAAATCGACTGTGGATACATTTTTGGATTACGTCACACAGTTAAAAATAGAAGGTTAAAATTATCTACCGGAAATGATAACAAATTTGTAAACATTGGCACTTGCAAGGTAACTAATAATTAATGATTATAAAAATGTTTTTTTTAGTACTAAGTTCGATAAGGTTTATAAACATGGGGGATAGAATCTTGTGTACAGTAGTATTTAATCCCTTGTAGATAGGGAGAATTAACATTTTTTTTTCTCTCTTACCATGTGATGTTGTGTAAACACATAGCGACAAGTTCCGGCGCCCGGGGACCAACTATCACTTTTACGCCCCACCCCATTTATTTAATCTATGTATAGTTATTTCCGTTAGCAAAAAAATCGCAAGATTGTAAAGGTCTGTTGGGGGGAGGGGACGTTAAGTTTTTATTTTTGTTCTACACAATTGATGAAGAAAACATTTAAAATAAGTCCGTAAAGCCGAGTGTCAAAGTTACTCAACTTGGTCTCTGTATTAAAAAGTAAGGCAGCTCAGAGTGGGCGTTTTATTCCCTCCCCCCTGTTTTTGGCACCCCTTAGGGTCGGCACCGTGCGGCCGCCACACCCGCCCTCCCCTCACTACGCCCGTGTGTGTACAGTATTCGAGTAAAAATAATGGAATAACTACTGGATACTATAAACATTAAAGGGGTGGGGTCAGCATTAGGATTATTCAAGTGACGTGGTCAGCGCTAGGATTATCTAAGTTGCGGATTATCTAAATGACTGGTAGTCCGTGTTTAGATTTCGAGCCACCCCCCCCCCCCCCCCTCCTTTCACATTCACCAAACATTTGCAGAGAGCGACATTTAATATGAACCATTTCGAGCACCCATGAACTGCAACCTACTGTGTCTGATTACTCAAAAGACAATACCCCTCACCCTCCCTCATTAATACCCCCCCGCCCCCAACAGTAACGTGACTGTTGACGTCATCAAGACTATTTTCGGTAGCCCAAACATCAACCAGTAGAAAATAAACCCTGCGGTAGAACATCTCCTTTCTTAGACTTGACGCGCTGTTATTAGTCTGTCTGTTGTAAATGCCCGTCTAGAGCAAATGTCTGTCTCCCAAATGTCTGTCTAAAAGCCCCCATTTCCCGCGATTATTGGTTCAGTAACAACCCCAGCAGGAGTCATCGTTGTTTACCACGAACACGATGAAGACAATTTGTCTGAACGTTGATTGAAGAGTCACGTACAGGTCAACATTACGTACCATCTACATACAAACTATATGTGTGTTTAGGTTGATTGGTCTAGTCCATTATTCTATTCAGAAATTTTAAAACTTTTTTTAAATGAGTAACTTTTGTTTACTGAAGTCCAGAACTTCTGTATGTGACATATTTGATACAGACACTTTATTATGTGCTTACGTTATTTGATACTGTATCACAAAAAATGTACACCACAAAATCGAATCACTATTCTGTTGCTTCACACCTTCTCGTCCACACCCCCCCCCCCCCACCCAAACCCCATCCCCGAATCGAAAGTTCCATTACTCCTGGTACCATCAGGTCCCGTGGACAGGTCACAGTGACCTTGACCTTAAAATAAGTGCTCCAGGATTGACCGAATCCCGTCTGGCCAACGATTCTATCAGCTGATTTATTCAATCACCGAAAGATCGAGTCCGAAGATTTTTTAAACGTCTCTCTGGCTTCACTCTGTTGGCTCGAGCTGTGTTACTGTAGCTTTAAAGTTTTTATAGGGGAAAATATTGTTCTTATTGATGGATTTTTAAAGGTTGATGTTTTTGTGATTTTGTTTGGGGGAGGGGGTTTGGGTGGTGCTAGGATGAATTGTTAGGTTTATATATTCTTCTAATACAATAATGATGACAAGGACATGCAGGGATATCATATCAAGAAACACATATGTTAGGATACAAAGTTATTATTTATTTGTATGCCAAAGTCTTAATGACGCGTGTTCTCGAAACGTTTTCGCAATGATTTGCTATGATTCAAAGTAAATTTTACATCAGGATATTAAACGATCAAATGCACCATAATATATAGTCTATTTAAACAACAAGGGTGGATAACTTCTAAATAGGACATACAATGGAAGAATGAGTAGCTATTTATAGCCTCACTCAGCTGATGTTTTGTTTTGTTTAGTTGACCAGGAGCTATGCTATATTTTATTAAAAGAACATCACGTATTTTGGGGGATTCTCTGAGCTCATCACGTGATGTATTGCTGTGCCTCGGGGCTAAGGTATAGGCTTAGGCATGGGCTTAGGCAAGGGTTTAGGCATGCTATCGTGAGGGGGGAGCTGGGGGTTGTGGAACTGTGGGCTTCCGACCCCGTTTTATTCGATCGAATAATTTAGCGTCCTTGTGTATGTAGTGATTCGATTAAATTGTCAGAGAGTTTTGAACAAATTAAATTATGGCGACCCTCACCTTTTGTAAAGTGCTGAACTAGATGGTGTTGTAGATCAACTTCCGGTCATGGGTCAAGGTCCCTATGTGAGCTATTTTTAACACGTTTTTAAAACGTTTTTCTTAACTCAGCTTCGCGTTTGTTTGTTTGGATGTTTGTTGTTAAAATTGACATCGAAAATTAGCCCACTTCTGATTGCTCTACAGACCTGAAATTTGGCATGCATGCTACTTTCGCCTAACAATTTCAGATGCAATCATAAAAACTAGCAATTAGTGACCGTAATTAGCTTAATTTAATTACGCCCCAAGGACCATAAAATTGAGGACATGATTTCTAAAGATACCGACAAGACTTGAAGCCTATTGACACAGTTACTTCGGCCCCAATCGATGTGAGCGCGCTGGCCGTGATCGTATAGTGGTTAGTACTTCGCGTTGTGGCCGCGACAACCCAGGTTCGAATCCTGGTCGCTCAAGATTTTTAGTCCGTGTATTTATAAACACTTTTTTAAAAACCACGTTTTTCATGTGTAGCAACGGACTAAAAAGGAGAACGGACACGGTAACACATTGTTAACGGTGACACGGTTGGTACGCTGGGCATGCTAAAATACACATAAACACGTTTTTCCTTAACTCAGCTTCGCGTTTATTTGTTTGTTTATGGGAGATTTGATCACGTGATTCCTGAGTAGATCTCCACGCCAGCAACGTAAATTACACCCTTTCTCTGTTTAAAGCGTATCGGTCGCTCAAGATTTTTTTAGTCCGTGTATTTAAAAACACTTAGTCAAGTCATACTTAATCAAGTGATTAGATAAAGTAGAAAATAAACTATTTAAAAAACTTTTTAAAAACCACGTTTTTCATGTGTAGCAACGGACTAAAAAGGAGAAAATAAAATACTTAAAAAAAACTTTTTAAAAAACCACGTTTTTCTTGTGGACTAAAAAGTAGAAAATAACTATTTACATACATTTGATGACAAAAAACGTGGGTCGGGCAGATGGGTCGGGAAATTTGATGGTGAACGTACCCACGTTTTTTGTCATCAAATGTATGTAAATAGTTATTTTCTACTTTTTAGTCCACAAGAAAAACGTGGTTTTTTAAAAAGTTTTTTTTAAGTATTTTATTATTAACTCAGCTTCGCGTGGATGTGTTTGTTGTTAAAATTGACATCGAAAATTAGCCCACTTCTGATTGCTCTATAGATCTGAAATTTGGCATGCAGGTTACTTTCGCCTAACAATTTCAGATGCAATCATAAAAACTAGCAATTAGAGACCGTAATTAGCTTAATTTAATTACGCCCAAAGGACCATAAAATTGAGGACATGATTTCTAAAGATACCGACAAGACTGGAGGCTTATAGACACAGTTACTTCGGCCCCAATCGATGTGAGCGCGCTGGCCGTGATCGTATAGTGGTTAGTACTTCGCGTTGTGGCCGCGACAACCCAGGTTCGAATCCTGGTCGCTCAAGATTTTTTTAGTCCGTGTATTTATATACACTTAGTCAAGTCATACTTAATCAAGTCATTAGATAAAGTAGAAAATAAACTATATAAAAAACTTTTTTAAAAACCACGTTTTTCATGTGTAGCAACGGACTAAAAAGGAGAAAATAAAATACTTAAAAAAAACTTTTTAAAAAACCACGTTTTTCTTGTGGACTAAAAAGTAGAAAATAACTATTTACATACATTTGATGACAAAAAACGTGGGTCGGGCAGATGGGTCGGGAAATTTGATGGTGAACCCACGTTTTTTGTCATCAAATGTATGTAAATAGTTATTTTCTACTTTTTAGTCCACAAGAAAAACGTGGTTTTTTAAAAAGTTTTTTTTAAGTATTTTATTACCTACTGCACTCCAAAGATCCTCTTATTTCCTCTACCTCAAGCTCAGTGTGTCCACACAAGAAACCCTCTACCACTGGCTAGGTTAGCATTACCCTCGTTTCCATTACTTGGTATGGTGGAGAACGAAATATTTAAGTATCCTTTGTGCTAATCAAATGTACCTGACTTCTGTCGTTGCATATTTCCTACCTGCGTTTTGACGTTTTGACGTACTCACCAATCACAGTATCATACTTCCTACATACGGTTTTACATACTCACACTGGCACTAGTCATAAACACGCCCGACAACTCACGATAGCTGTACTCTCGTGGTTAATTCACACCAACATCATTCATACATGTGTGTGAGATGTGTGCGGTGATATGGGGTTAATATGTGGTCTAGGTGTTGTCATTTGGGGTTCACGTGTAGGGGGTTTCATTTGGGGTTAATTAGTAGAGGGCTTGTCTTTAGGGGTTAGCATTTAGTGGGGTTGTCATTTGGTTTACATGTAAGGGATTGTCATTTAGGGTTAATATATAAAGGGGTTGTCAATTTGGGGTTCACATGTACTGTTTTGCCATTGGGGGTTTACATGTACATGGGTTGTCAGTTTAGGGTTAACATGTAGGGGGTTGTCCATTGTTATTGAACTACCAGCTTGTATTGGCTTAGGGTATCCATTCTACTTCGCACAACACGTAATGGAGGAAACGACATCAACGATCACATTTCAAAACTATGTGTTTAATAAATTACTTTTTCCCAAACAGCTACTACAAACACAAAACATAAGAAAAGCGATAAGGGAATGTCAAGGATTAAGTGGGATTATCTGATAAACATGGCTACAATTGTTTAATTTTGGACTCCAAATTTTAAGACCGTCTCGTTTCGATTAGTAGTACCCCAATATTGGCATAGCCGGTTTCGTCGATAATTGTTCTTTAGGGTTAGGGTTTAAATATATGGTTAGGGTTATTGTTAAGACCATGTTAGGTTTTGGGTTGACGTATGCTAGATAGCTGATAAAGCAATGAATTCTTATAAAGGGCATCAACAAACATCAAAATCTCCAATTTGGTTTTAGAAGCGCTACTTTCGGATTCACCAAGAAAACTTCTATCGCAGTAATCCCCCTTTGTTGTCGTTTACAAAGGACGGGAATCGCCGAATCACGTGACTCTGAGCTAAAGCGCGAGACTCGTTGATTCCAGCGATCGTCTGGTCAGCAGGCGACATCTGTCTTCTGCCACCACAGTCGCCATTAATGACCTTGATAAATAATTCACCCAGATTCCCGCCAACACCGCCGCTGCGGCCGTTAAAGTTGACGTCACATTTCCGTCTGGCGCTGCTGTCTGTCACGTGATGGCTAAAAATAAACACTTTCCGTTTGATGTTAACCTAGCAGCCGACATACGTTTGTTACATAATTTTTGTCGCGGCATATGGTCGTGTCCCACTCCAGTTTCTGCACACTTGTTTCTTATCTAGGTAAATAAACAGTTGAAAGTTTATTGGTTGGCTGCATACCCAGTGGTAGATTGTCCCAGGTTTTCTTGTTGCTAGGTTGTAGCGTTGATAGGTTGTCTGGTTGATAGGTTGTATCATCGACGAGTTGTATTGTTGATAGGTTGTATCATCGACAAGTTGTATTGTTGATAGGTTGTATCATTGATAGGTTTTCTTGTTGCTAGGTTGTATCGTTGCCCGGCACTGTTGTTGCTATGTTGTCTAGTTGCCCGGCACTGTTGTTGCTATGTTGTCTAGTTGCCCGGCACTGTTGTTGCTAGTTTTGTTGTTGTTGAAGTCTGTTTGTAGATTGTGTTGCTACTTTTTGGAATCGTTGCCAAGTTCTCACTTTGTTTGGCCTTAGATATGTATGTATGATACAGAATTATCCCAAACTTGTGATTTAAAACAGGATTATCCCAAATGTATATTAATACCGTAGATCTATATCCTTGTGTATTAATTATAACTGATGGAAATAGATGCATCCGGGTTTTTTTCCCCTACAAAAATGGAAAGTCCGTTAATAAAACTACAGTTGCTGTTGGTCTAGTTTTAGCTCTTTGTGTAAAATTGTGCCGTGTAGTCTTAGATTATAATGTAAATTACATGTAGCCTTAATATGTGGATAATTTGTCTTAGACTTATAAATTAAATCGCATATTGAAATCAAGTTACATGACATAAGAAAGTAGAGTTTTTACTTTAAAACAGATGTTATTCATTAAGCCGTCGTGTTTGGGCTATGTGTAAGTCGTAGGTTACGGGCTGGGGCGGCAGGGAGGTTTATTCTAGGGGGAAGTTTTAATTAGGGTAAGTTTTAATTAGGGTTAAGTTTTAATTAGGGTTAAGTTTTAATTAGGGTTAAGTTTTAATTAGGGTTAAGTTTTAATTAGGGTGAAGTTTTAATTAGGATAAAGTTTTAATTAGGGTGAAGTTTTAATTAGAGTGAAGTTTAAACTAGGGGGAAGTTTAAATTAGGGGGAAGTTTTAATTAGGGTGAAGTTTTAATTAGGGTGAAGCTCAGCTATTGAATTAGTTATAGTCACCGGCGACACCAATTAATAAAATAAAAATAAAATAAAAATAAAATATTGCGTGAATCGTTTCCCTATCTCTAACAAAAAGGCGTCGATAATGCGTGTAATTAACATGTAGTGAACTGATAATGATCATTAACAGTATTGGAATTTTTTTTTTCATTGGCGGTAATTTAATTGTGAGTTAAGTCATAGAATGTATTGTATCAGGTTTCTAATTTTCTGTACTACTATTGTCGTATACCACATCTAACACATTGTATGCTTTTGTAAACATGTCGTAAGTGACATAATACACGACAAGCGGAGAAAAAATTTGGTATACCATGTCAGGCGAAAACTGGTTTCAAACATCCAACATTTTTTGTTAAAATCCTGATTTTATGTTGTAGGGTGTTAAAACCATCTTTTTCTATTGCAGTGTCGGCCCAGAGAGCAATGAAGGGGATTTATTTCAGATTTTAAGAATCCATTTGAAAACGGTTCAAAGAAAGAAGAATGAAAATAGTTCTTGCAAAAAATCAATAATCAATGTCGTGTAAGCTAAACTTGATAGTTTGCAGCTTAGCCAAAATCTTTCGTCACACCCCAATGTCAAGGCCGCGCCTCTAGCCCTCTAAAGAAAATGTCCTGCCCATCTTATACAAGACACAGCCTGCTCTGTGGCCGTCTGCCCTCAAAGAGAGTCGCCGGGATCGTCATCTCTCTCATCCTCCTGCTCCAGCTCCCCCCCGCCTCCCGGGCCTTCACCATCCAGAAGAGTGTCTCCATCAAGGAGGGGCTACAGCCGGGGGCCGTCGTCGCTAGGCTAGACACGGAGCCATCTTTAATCCAAAAGGTGGAAGCCAATTTCGGGAGCCGTAACGCGGCTAAGCTGCAGTACAGCATCTTAACATCGGGAAATCCCCAAAGTAATTTTTTCGCCGTGAGCCGTGAGGCGGGGGAGGTGACCATCCAGCGGGTCATTGACCGCGAGAGTGTGTGCAGCTTCAGAGACGAGTGCCAGCTCAGCTTTGAGGTCGCCGTCCACTCGACCCTCAGCGACTTCTTCCAGCTGGTCAAGGTCACGGTCGTTGTCCTGGACGTGAACGACAACCCCCCAGAGTTCACGCAGTCGCTGCTGGAGGTCAGCATCCCCGAGGATGCTGGCGTCGGGTGGTCGTTCCAGCTGCCCACGGCGTTTGACCGGGACCGGGGTCCGGGTAATGGGGTCAGCGAGTACCTGATGCTGACGGGGACCTCCTTGTTTGGGGTCGAGTCTGTGGACTCTGGCTTCAACAAGACCAACGTCTACCTCATGTTGTTGACAGCCCTGGAGAAAGACAGCCCCCCGACCTACGAGGTAAGGTGGTTGGTGGTATCAAATTATCATCAGCAACTATAACATTTAATTTGTTATCAAAACAATGTTAGTTAAGTTAAAATAATAACCAAGACACAGGCCCAATTAGACATAGCGTGGATGAAATACTTTTCGAACTACACATCTACCCCAAATGTTAACACATCCACAACACCATGTTTTTCATGACAGCCTAATGTTATAAACTTAAGAAACTCCTTCAACAAAATCAAGATTGTACCACTAATGTTATAAACTTTAGAAACTTTAGCGTTAGACACTCCTTTAACAAAATCAAGATTGTACCACTAATGTTAGAAACTTTAGAAACTTTAGCGTTAGAATCTCCTTCAGTAAAAGCAAGATTGTACCATTTGTGTTCCTTTCATTAGCTGCTGGTGGGTGCCAAGGATGGGGGCATTCCTTCTCTCACTGGCACTCTGACTGTCAACGTGCAGGTGTCAGACATTAATGACAACACACCTGTGTTTGAGACTGACATGTACACTGTCAAAATACCTGAGGACAAAATACCTGGGCAGCTGGTTCAAAAGGTAATCAAACATTTTGGAGAAATTAAATGTATGCAACTTATTGACTATATTACTGTTTTCTGTGCTTACAAATCGTTGAAGTTGTGCAAGTTGAGACAGGCACCAGAGTTATGTAGACAGAGACAAGCCATGGACTCTAGCCAGGCATCTAGTGTTTAGTGCCAGAAATCAAGTTCTCTGACTGCTGACACCACTTTCTCATTAACCGAAATATGTTACATAATTTTTCTTTCCTCATCATTAGCCAGCAATGCATTCGATGTGTTAGTTATTGTTACCTGTGTTAAATCCCCATTTTAGCTCTGATAATTACCTTTGATAATTATGATAATTAATCTCTACTTATGCTAATTATTCTGTATTACCTTTGAGAACTACGCTGTATTTTCCATGAGTACTCTTTACTACCTAAGAAAATTACTATATATTACCTGTAGTAACTAATCTGTATTACCTGTGAATGAACCCCACCTCTGCCCCCCTCAGGTGAAGGCAACCGATGCCGACTCAGGACCTAACGGCCAGGTGACCTACTACTTCTCCAACTTCCAACCGGCAGACAACCTGGACTATTTCAAGATAGACTCCAGGTCAGGGGAGATAACTCTCATGAAATCTGTCGAGGCGAGGACAGGGGAGGAGATCGAACTGGTCGTACAGGCCAGGGATCAAGGTCACCCACCTCGGGTGACCTCAACTACAGTTCGAGTAAATAACTACGATTTAATTTTTTTATTTTTTATTTTGAAAGTCTGTGGCGGACATAATACAAATAATGGTTCACCATAATGTTTAATAAACACAAATACTTGAAAACAGGAAGATTTTATTTTTTTCGTTTATTATATGCCGGCCTACTTCGACTTGTTATTCTTTTTAAATTACTTTAAAAAATGTCTTTAAGTATTTAATAAGCTGCCTGCTTTAGTTTAATGTTTGGTAAAACAGTTTTTAAAAATTATATTATACAAGTATTACAATATCTGCAATAAGATAATTTAAAATAAAATAAAACCCACATACAAAATTACACCAATATTTTATGAATTATATATCTTTCAAGGTTAAGGAGCAGTTATTTGTATGTCTACATTAAAATAAACGTAGTAGTCTTTAGTGTTGCAATGTTATGACCATTGTTGATGTGTCCTGTTGTCTGTCCCTAGGTTCTAGTGGAGGACACTGTCAACAGCATGCCTGAGGTCATCATCGACCCCCTGGGTGGGATCAGTACCGAGGTGTCTGAGTACGCCGAGCTGGGTAAAGTCATAGCCCACGTCAGCGTCAGGGATCCTGACAGTGGGGACAACGGGAAGACTGACTGCCATTTGAATATCCCAGAATTTGAGCTGGAACCACTGACTCTACTGGGAAAATTTAAGGTAGGTCTGGGACTTTGGTTCCAGAGAGCTAGAACTAAATATTAAAATGGAAATTTAAAAAAAAAGAGCCTCAGTATGCCTAATATTTAAAACGAAATTAAAACTGCAATTTTCATAGACATAATGACTGCATGAACTAGTATATGTAAAATTAAATACCTCTGTACATTAAAAAATTACTGTACAAAGGGAGAGTATCCCTTTTTTATTATAATTTTTATTAATTTCTTGAGTTACTTCCCATTAGTTTAAAAAAAAGCACTCCAAAAATATCCACATAAAAAAAGTTGTCCACCAAATAAAATGTTGTTGCTGTTTGTAGGTCGTGTTGAAGTCGTTGCTTGACCGTGAGGTGGTGGACACCTACAATGTGGAGGTCACGTGTGCAGACAAGGGCATCCCCTCCCTCACTGCCAGAAACTCTTTTACTGTCAAAGTCTTGGATGAAAACGATCAAACCCCAGAGTTCTCCAAAAGGACATACATGGCCACTGTTGTAGAAAACAACCCTATTGGTAGGTCACAAGTTTGATAACTACCAACACTGTGCTAAGTTAAAAAACAATGATATTAGTAGATCACAATTTTTACTGATTAACACATGTGAGGTCTTAATTTATGCAGTAATTAAAGGAATATATCCATAACTTTACAACATGTTTTGTATATTAAAATTTAAAATGTATCCCATAAAATTAATTATCATAATAAAAACTTTTTATTTTTGCCAGGTGCTTCAATTGCCCAGGTGATTGTAACAGATAAGGACATTGGCCCTAATGGTCAAGTGGACTTCCATGTCGTTGGCGTCAATGCCCAGCACTTTGACATAGACAGTACTGGACTGATGACCGCCAAGAAGTCGCTGAACAGGGAGGAAGCTGAGAGGATCATCATCACCATCAGAGCCATAGACAGGGGGGTCCCAGCTCTCACGGCTTCGGCCACGGTGGAGCTGACCCTACAGGATGTCAATGACGAGGTGCCGGAGTTCGCTCAGGCTGTTTTTGTCATGGAAGTCTTGGAGGGTCAGCCTGCTGGACATTACGTTGGCATCGTCTCGGCACATGACAAGGACAGTAAGAAAAATGGAGAAGTTTTCTATCACCTTCCTGCCGGCTCTCATCAGAAAGAAACCAGTTTTATGGTAGAACCTAGTGGTGGGGTGGTAAAAACAAATGTAGTTCTAGACCGAGAGAGGAAGGAGAGGTATGAATTTCTTGTCCTGGCAACTGACAGAGGAGTCCCACCCCTAACAGGGACAGCCACTATTGTTGTCAACATCATTGACATCAATGACAACACTCCATTTTTTGTTTACCCTACCAAAGGAAATGATTCTATATCCATACCCCACACGTATAAACCAAGACATCCAATTGTGACATTTTTAGCTAGAGACAACGATGCTGGGGTCAACGGTCAGATCACATATTCCATGGACGTCAACACAACCAGTGTGTTCTATCTTGACCCCATCACTGGCGTGCTGACACTGACAGCTGCTCTGGCGTCAAAAGATGTTGGCATGCATGTCCTGACACTAATCGCTACAGACCAGGCGCTGATGAAGGAAATGTCCATGCAGCTGCCGTTCTACATCGACGTTTTCTTCGACAACTCCACGGTGCTGGCTACGGCAGGGTCACCTGAACCTGCCATGGGGGTTATTGTTGTGGCTGTTGTTGCTGCGCTTGTGGTGGTGGTTGTCATTGTGCTGCTCATATACATCATCCGCAGGAAGAAAGGCAGAAAGAACACAGGCATGCCAAACTCTGGTAATATTCTACTTCACACTTTTTAATGTGGCTTTGTTTTTTTCTGTGTTCTTTTACTCAGTTCTGTATTTCTTTCTAAATGTTGTTCAGTGATATAATTATTTTTTCGTTTGACTTAGTTTTGTTTTTCTTATTTTAAAGCGAGTATTTCTTTGATTCTCAGATTATTTCTTTAGCTTAGCAGTTCTTTGTCGTTTTTAAATAATTTTCTTGTAAAAATTCCTCTGAACTGTTATGTTTTTGCTTGTATTTAGCACTTTAAAAATTAAAGTCCTACTGAAATTGATGTAAATTTTGAAACCATTATTTTATAAATCCTCAAGTTGTTGTAACCTCCCCCCCCCCCCACCCCCTCCATCCTCAGCCTCCTCATCATCCACCACCAAACTGAGGGGAGGCTACTACGTGGCACCAGGCGTCAGAGAGTCGTCCTCGTCCTTCATCACAAAAAGTGACTACGACCAAGCGTCCTGCAACACGGGCTTGTCCGAGGGGATGAAAACAACAAACCCCTACGTCGTCATGATCCCCCCTCCAGCCCCTGCTGGACCCCCAGAGGTGAGGAGATAGCTCTTAGAGCTCAGTGGTCATATTTGTTTGTTCTTGATCTTATGTCATGTTGATGTTGTGTTGGCTGATACAGAAGTCTGAGTAAAGCACTGAGTCATATTGTAGTTTTTGATCTTATATCATGATGGCTGATACTAAGTACTTAGAGCATTGTGTCATATTGATATTTTGGCTGATTAAAGTAAATGTAAACAAGTTTTGGAAATTTTTTGTAAATTTCCTCAATCAATATTAAATTCCAGGGTTTTAAAAATTTTATAAATTTAGTATTGGAATTGTTAAAATTGGGGGATTGAATTTCAGAATTCACATAAAAAATGAGTCTCACCCCTGCTACAAGTTATTTGTTCAAATATATCACCACCTGATTTAGACAAACATGAAGTCCAGTAAAAAAATTTGTTTGGGTCATATTTCAGGTTGTCCAGATATCTCGCAATGGCAACCAGCACGGGTTCAATGACACTTTAAACCCAGACCTGGACCAGACAGATGACGGACAGTTTTCAACATTCAGGTCACAGGAAAATATTTTATCACCCGGGTTCAAATCCAGTTCTCTAAAGAGACAGGTGAGTCTAGCTGTGAGAAGTGGCTCGACTGGCAGTATGCTAGACAGCACTAGACACTGAGTGGTTTTCTGTTGATGGTTTTGTTTTGATGCTTTTAAACTGCTGTGATAGCTAATGTTTCAAATAAACCTTGTTACAATGATTGATTGAAATATAGTGTTTTAACTTTTACTTGATATTTTTATAAAATTCAATCTTTTTTTTTACTAAAATAAATTGTGTGGTGAAGTTGATATAATGGAGTGTGACGCTGTCCTCTCTCTATTTCCCAGTCTGAAAACACCTATTTTCTATTTTCCAGTCTGACAATTCATCTATTTTTCTATTCCCCAGTCTGACGTCTATTTTATATTCCCCATTCTAACAATTCATCTATTTTCTATTCCCCAATCTGACATCTATTTTCTATTTCCCAGTCTGACATGTATATTCTATTCCCCAGTCTGACAACTCATCTATTTTCTATTCCCCAGTCTGACAACTCATCTATTTTCTATTCCCCAGTCTGACAATTCATCTATTTTTCTATTCCCCAATCTGACATGTATATTCTATTCCCCAGTCTGACAACTCATCTATTTTTCTATTCCTTAATCTGACATCTATTTTCTGTTTCTCAGTCTGACATCTATATTCTATTCCCCAGTCTGACATCTATTTTCTATTTCCCAGTCTGACAATTCATCTATATTATTTTCCCCAGTCTGACAACTCATCTATTGTGAAAAGAAATGATACCTTTGAGGAGCTCTCCTGTGATGAAAGCACAAGTGACAGTGGTAGAGGAGGAAGTGACTTGGAGCTGAACAAAGAGAAAGGTAAATTTACACCGGAAGTAAACTGATTCATTTTGTCGTAACCATTTTTTAGCATGGCCAGTCTATATATTTTAGGTATACAAATACTATTAAACATTGAGGCGTTCATTTCTTAGTGTAACTGTAATATTAGAGAAATTATCAAAATGTTCTAAAATGCTAATTAATAATTTAATTTTTGTTTCAGCCCGAACACAAGCTGCCACCCCTGTGTCAATGAAAAGTGGCATCTCCCACCAGTTGTCTCCCTTACCACGAAAAAGTGAAAAAATGTTCACCACTTTCCGAGGAGAATCGCCGAGCTCTTTTAAATTTGACTCGGACAGCGACACACTGACCCACAGCAAGCGGCCCCGGGCTGAGCCAGCTCTGGCCAGGGAGGATTTCTCAGCAGACGCCAGCAACAGCAGCACACTCTCTAACACACTCTCCAACACACTCTCCAACACACCGGTCAGGAGTGAATCTCTCACCAGGGGTCAGCTGCAGCCGCAGTACACAGCCGCAATCCACAGCCCCAATGTTGGCTCCAGCGGATACAACAGCGGAGGGGAGGGAGGATCATCCAGACAGCCTCGTCGGATACCCCTCCTGTCGTTGATGTCGCCCCCTCTGACATGCCACCAGTATGAGAGTGAGACGGACCAGAGTGATGCGGGCTCCAACTCCAACTCCCTGTCCAGGTCTAACCGCGTGCCCAGGCTCCCATTCAACCTCGGCATTGATTTCTCCCATCACGCGTACGGGAGCTCAAACAGGAACAGCATCGGTCCATTGACCAGCAACAGCATCGGTCCATTGACCAGCAACAGCATCGGTCCATTGACCAGCAACAGCATCGGTCCATTGACCAGTAACTCCACGCACCCACACGGTGGATTACCAGCGGAATACAGGAGTGGGTCGTCTAACCATTACACAAACAACACCCCTAGTGCCAATGGATTACATTACAACAGTACTTTCAACAACAACAACAACTACCCTAACAACCTTTCAAGCTTCGCTGTCCCTGACGCGCATGTCACACGCAGGTATGACCATGCTGTCAGTGAGACTGACGACTCCCGCCCTGACCCCCGGGTCACCCGCAGGTATGACAATGTCATCAGTGAGATTGACGACTCGAGGCCAGTCAGTATGGAGGAAGACTTCCTCTTACCTCCCTACCCAGAAGCCAATGAGGAGGAGGAGGACTTAGCTCTCAAGCCGGGCTACACCGGCTTCACACCAGAGAGGAGCAGAGAGAGAGAGGCCTTATTTAACCGCGCACGATACGAGTCTAGTGCATAATATTTGTACAGCCTGCAGCCATACTGTAGAAATTGTTTCAAAGATTTTATACGACTTATGTTTTAAACTATTCCGTTAAATCGTTGATTGGCAGTCTTAGCTCTTGGTGAACTATGGAGTTGAATGGATTTTTTAAAGAGTTTTTAAACTAGTAGCCATTATTTTAAAGATATACAATATTATTTTAATGGAGTATACAGTTCAGTAAGGGAGATGACAAAACTTTATTCCTATTGTGTATAATAAATAAATTATTGATCAAATTCATTGAACCTAAGGTTTGTTCTATAAGTGACATCTGATGATTTTCATTGATTTTTATCCTCTTCTTCCTCCACTCTCATAAGTTCAGTCACAGCTAGCCAGACAACACCCCCACCCTAGAAAAAATTTATTTTGAAAGATTTTTACATTCTTCCCTCCCTTGAGACAATCACAGTTCTATGTTAACATAACTTTTGAAAAAAAAAAAATTGTAAATGTAAAATATATGCTATTATATTTTTTTTTTACCCTCCCCCATTCCACTGCATAAAACAAAATGCTGTCCCCCCCCTCCCCCACATATTCAACCACCTTGACTTGGGTGGATAGGGATGCCATTTATGGACAACACCCTAGAGAAAAATACAAACCCATATCAAGAGGAATGTAAATAGAATCTCCAATTGTAAAAAGGTAACTTATAATTTATACAGAAGTAAAGATTTTATAATTGCTAAACGACAAGACACCAGGCTAAGCTAATTAAATAATTTAATTAAATTGTTCTTGAGCATCAAACTGTGTCAATTTATTCAAGATAATTTTGCATAACATTGTATAAAATGTGTGAAATTGTTTGACAAGTATACCGTGTAACCATTAGCGAATGTGATTTTTATTTCTGTAAATATCCCCACATTGCTTTCTATTTACAGTTGACAACAAGCCTATTATAGTATACATTGTTAAAGGTGATGAGGGATTTATCACAATATTTTGACACATACTAACATAGACTATAACTTTTTTTACTTTTAATTTGAGCCTATCATCATGTTTTATTGGGACCAAAGAAAAGGGCAACTACTTAAGCCAGATTAGAATTCCCTTGTCATGGTTCGGTAGCCTGTCATATGTACATTAAGGTCTGTTTATCAATAGGAGGTATGAAACACATTTTATTTAATTTTCACACCCCTCCCCCACTCCCACACCTTTCTGCAACCTAGTCAGTGACATAGTACACATTACAGCAACTAAGTTTGCACTATCAATTGAATTTTTCTTATAGATATATATATCGAGATCTATATCTATGTATAAGGAAATATATAGTTACAAAACAGAAACTCCCACCTTCTATATAATGTGACTGACTCTAGTCAAGTTGCCACAAAGATTTTTAAAAAATGGCCAGATTTTTAAACCCATCTTTAGTTTCCCAATTTCAATCTTGTCAACTTAAAAAATTGTTTTAAAAAAAATAAACAATTAACTTTCCTACTTGTTTATCAACCTGCCTTATTCCAGTTTGAATGATATGCATTTAGGTCAGACTGCTAGTCAGGGTCAGTGGCCTTGGTATCTACACCCATGTAAATTATGCTCGCCATACGTTTTGTAACAATAATATGTTCATATTGGTTGTGTGTTGACGTTTTGTCACAATAATATGTTCATATTGGTTGTGTGTTGACATTTTGTAACAATTTGTTCATATTGGTTGTGTGTTGATGTTTTGTAATAATTTGTTCATATTGGTTGTGTGTTGATGTTTTGTAATAATTTGTTCATATTGGTTGTGTGTTGATGTTTTGTAATAATTTGTTCATATTGGTTGTGTGTTGTTGATGGCTGTGGACTTACGCCTGTACTCTTTCTCAGCATGTCATGTAATATGTGGCATGCCATGCTACGTATCAAATGTCATGTGTAACATGTCAAGCTCACAGGCGTAGTGACCCTTCCCGGCGCCTGGGACAAACTTTCAATTGGGCGCACCCCCCTCTGGAACAAATTTTCGATTTGCAGCCATTGACATTTTAATTTGTTTTTACAACCCATTTTGGCGCCCCCTAAGGTCGGCGCCCAGGGACATAAGCTCCCCCCCCCCCATCGCTACGCCTCTGGTCATGCTCCATTTGACATGTCATGTTACCTGTGACATGTCACGTTACCTGTGAGATGTCATGTCACAGTTACATATAACATCTGGATCTCCTACTTTCCCAGTGCTGTGGATCTAGCTTTATCCTTGTACACAAAACTAAAATAAGATTTTTATGCTACACATGTGTTCTGCTTCCTGATTTAAACATTGCTACTGAAGTTCTGTTTTCATTTGTTTGTAGGTCTACCAGTAGAAATTTTATTTTAAGTAACCAAAGATTTTATATCTCCACATATTTTTCTTGTGAAATGATTCAATGATTTTTTTTATGTGTGCAGTTGTTTTTGTAAATATAGATCTAGTATCCTAGTGAAGAAAGTCTAATAAAATGGGAGTTAACTCTCATTTATTTGATGGAAAAATTTATGAAATTTTAAACAATCTATTTCAATTATTTTACAACAATCAGATTATGTGCAATGTTTTGTTTATATGTATGTAATTTTCTTAAAGTTTCAGTCAATATGGTTTGTTTTTAAATTAATATTTTCCTTAACTTGCAGATGTAGTCATTAGCAACTTTCAATGAATATAGATCAAGTAAGCATATCATCTTAATTATTTTGCTTGTAATTATGTTGCTGACAAGATTTTGTTTGTAGAATCTAAATGTAGCTTTCTATTTTTTTTTCTAATTTCTAAGATTTTGGAACCTATGTTTAATGTTATTAATTTCTTATTTAAGTTTGAAACATAGTCTACCATTGTGTGCCTGTATTTTATGGTACAGAAAGTCAAGTTTTCAATTGAATTTTTTTTATTTTTCTGTTTTTGTAAGCTTTGTAGTAAAGAGTGAAAAGTTTTTGTGTGATAACATGTGTACAGGTTTATTTATTAATTAATTATATAAATATAATATTAGTTCTATAAATAGCTGTGATTCTGATTGTATGATTATGAGTAGAAGGAAGATAAATTTGCTGACTTGCTGTCAGATGACTCATGACTGTCAGATGTAGAAATCAGATATGTCTAGTTGTCTTATGTTAGATAGTTATCTTATGTCAGACAGTTGTCTGATGTCAGACAGTTGTCTGATGTCAGACAGACAGTTGTCTGATATCAGACAGTTGTCTGATGTAGGCCTACATAACTTACCTGATGACAGACAGGTGTAGGCGTTGTCAGACACTCTGCCAGTCTTACCTGACATATGAAAAAGAAAACATATTACGTATCTCATGTTTTAGTTCAAGTGCACAGCATCAAAATAAATGCTTTATGTTTTAGGCCAAGGTTTAGACTTTATATTAAGGTTGTCATGCTTTATATTTTAAGGTTGTCATGCTTTATATTTTAAGGTTGCCATGCTTTATATACTAAGGTTGTCATGCTTTACTACTGCAGGCATTTTTTTAAATACTACTGCAGCCATATTTTTTCAGTCATAATTCATATGCATTAATAGTAAAGTCATAAGTAATTTGCTTGAATACAGCAGTCATGTTTGTGTCTTATATTGTCATCAAGATAATGTACATCAGCTTGGCGTGCGCATGTTGGTGACATCTGTCATCTACTATTTGACATATGACATTTGCTATTTGAAGTCGTCATATCATTTGTGTTTACTGATTGTCAGCATTTAAAACAAGTAAACTGATTGATTGTGTGTGGGCTAGCCCAAAACTTGTGTGAGTGAGTGTGTGAGTGAGTGAGTGAGTGAGTGAGTGAGTGAGTTAGCACTGTGTCAGTGCTAATCTTGACTTGATTTTGTGCACAAATTGTGTTTGGACATGCTTTAAATAAACAAATAAACATGCTGCCTGATCGCAGGCTAGAGATCAATGATTGGTTGTCTGACATTTTTAAATAGAAATATATGTGTGCAATGGAATTTAAAAAAGCCATTTTCACAAAATAATTTCTGGTCGTATGTGTTAGACCTTGTTGCAGTGCATGTCTTAGATCAGATTATGTCTTAGATCAGTGCATGTATTAGATCAGGGGTCTCCAAACTTTTCAGCCCGAGGGCCGCATTAACTATCAAATATCAGTTCGGGGGCCAGTGTTTTATCCAGGCAGCTCTTCGGGACGGCGGGGCCCCTCTTCCCCCCCCCCCCCCCTCGAAGAACGTTTACCCCCCCCCCCCCCCCTCGATGAAATATAATATATATATAGAAATATATACACATTTAGAGTGCCCCCCCCCCGGAGAAAAAGGTGTGAAAGAAACACTGTCGGGGGCCGACAACACACTCGAGGTCCATGTTCGCTCTACCATTGTCCTTCACTGTTTGTTTACACAGGTATGTTGTTCCAAATTTTGAAAGGTACTTTGATGCAAAAGTTTTGACATTAGGAAAGTCTTCCTTTCTTAACTTAAATACTCTGCTCAGAACTTTCTCATAACTAGCCATCTTACTACTGTGTAATATGGTAAATCTCGCGATTTTGTTATTGTATCTTTCAGCATGTCTATGAGCCCATGTTACCTTATTAAATTTACCATCTTCAGCAATGTCTGTAACTCGGCGGGCAAAGTATTTGCACCCAAAGCTACATTTTTAAATTGTTTTGATTTTTCTGGGCAAAGTTCCTCAGCCAAATCTAACGAACAGTGATTTTTCCCTGGACATCTGCGGGCCGGATGAGAAGACCTCGCGGGCCGCATCCGGCCTGCGGGCCGTAGTTTGGAGACCCCTGTATTAGATCAATACATGTCTTAGATTAGTACACGTCTCAGATCAGATTATGTCTTAGATTAGTACATGTCTTAGATCAGATTATGTCTTAGATCAGTCAGATCAACACCTGTCTCAGATGTCTTAGGTTATGACTTTGAGACAGCCACCAGTGACTTGAGACATCACGATTGGACGTTGGCACTTTGCCATTATTCTCACGTCTTCAGTAAACACAACTAGCGCCATTTAATGAACAATAAATGATCTCTGTAAAATTTATAGATCATTTAATGATTTATGTAAACGATATCTATAAATGATCTCTATACAATGTATAGATCATTTAATGATTTCTGTTAACGATATCTATAAATGATCTCTATTAATGATCTTTATAAATTATCTCTGCAAACGTTATCTATGAATGATCTCTATAAATAGTCTCTATGAATGATCTCTAAACCTTTCGTCACTAGCTAGTAAAACCTGACGACATCATGCTCCAATTGTGAGACACACAAAAGCACACGCATCACGTGACATGCGAAACATGCACGTGACCTAACAACCAATCGCGTGCATGCACGTAAGCGAGCCAAAAACATTTTTTTTTCTAACCCTACAAAGACTTTTTAACTAGCCTGCAGATGTTTTAATTTATAACATTCATCAATTCAGCAACACTAATATTTCCGAATTCATTAAAATATGCTACGGGCATAATTAGTAATTATATAATCAGATGAACTCTACTTCATCTGCCCTTTTGACCCGCAGTATTTTATCACATGACGTAGAACTACAATTAACCATTCAAAGAAAAAAAAAACAGATCAATACAATATACAAAATCGAATATTAAATGATCGATATTTTTGTGCACGTTTGTTTTTTCTTTAACTGACCTTTCATCCACACAGTGAACATTTGCACAAGCAAATCATTTATTTCACGTGTTTATCATCGAGCTCAATGTTGACAAAATGAGCCTAACGAAACTCGAACATTTTCCCAAAGTTCATTTACGCATGCGCACAAGCTGTATATAACCGCTGCTTAGATTTAATTAATTTGCACCACAGAATCTCCAGCGGGCACAGCAAGGGCGGTAATAAAGACAGACAGACATCATTTCTTGTTTTTAATTTGTCTGAGTTGCTCGCCCTTTGAACGAATTTCATCAATTTGTTTCCCGAGAAATTCCTAAGCGGCCAAGGGGTAAAGATGTGTTTGTTTTTAGAAAAGGAATAATTTATACAGAGAGCGAAAAAAATTGAGACAATTAGAAAAGGCTTTTATATTATTTTTTTTTTAAAGAGTTGTACACTTGAATAGTTTAAAGCTGCTGGCTAAAATGATTTGATGCTTTTGTTTTTGTGAAAATTGTAGAATTCCAGGCCTAATATAATAACGCAAACTATTGATTTTATTTTATGGAAGGTGGCATACAATGCACCAGGCTGCGATTCGTGCCAGTATGCCCAGCCGGAAAATAATCAAGTTTTTGTTATGTCATATCTGCCCAGCCCCTTAGCCATGCCCCTATATGCCCAGCCATTAACTCATGCCCCTATATGCCCAGCCATTAACTCATGCCCCTATATACCCAGACAGTTAAATCATGCCCCTATCTAACCAACCAGTTTAGTCATGCCCTATATACCCAACCAGTTTAGTCATGCCCTATATACCCAGCCAGTTTTGCCTTGCCCCTATATACCCAGACAGTTTAGTCATGCCCCTATATATTCTACCAGTTTAGTCATGCCCCATATATATCCATTTACTTATACTTTTGTCAATCCCCCAACTTACCAAATTAACACACCCCAATCCCCCCCCCCACACACACACACCCACACACGTCGACCCCCCCCCCCCCCCCCCTCTCCCCCTATACACACGAAACATTACAAGTGAACAATAGTCAGCTGATGATGTCTTGAAAAAAGGAAATGACGTCACTATAAATAAAGCGGGAAGTCTCACAAGACCTACACCGAGCAGGCTTCTAAATACTGCCTGGAAAAAAAAGCAAATTGGCTTCCACGGTAACGTTTGGCGAGTATTGGTTCAATTTGATCTGGCCACTCGTGAAGGTGAAGGACGAGTTTGTTTAACAGTGAAGTAACGAAAGTTGACATGACCAATGCTTTTACTGGATTACCAGATGCAATGTTTACCGTAAACAAAGAAGTAAACACGAAGATAACGTGTGTAGCCTTAAAGAATGTGTTTAATAAATACACAAGAAATTAAATTAGCCAGTGTTTCCTTTGCTGGTCAAACCAACTCGTGCGACATGTACAGGTCCTTGACGAAACTTGCCATGGCCACATTCTGCTGAAGACCTTTCTGACCTCACACATACCTTGAAAACGTCCAGTGGACCCATTCTTGCTCATGATCTTTGGAGTTTTATTTTACCCATGAGAGTTCAGCTCATGATCTTTAGAGTTTAACCCATGACAGTTCAGCTCATGATCTTTAGAGTTTTACCCATGACAGTTCAGCTCATGATCTTTAGAGTTTAACCCATGACAGTTCAGCTCATGATCTTTAGAGTTTTACCCATGACAGTTCAGCTCATGATCTTTAGAGTTTAACCCATGACAGTTCAGCTCATGATCTTTAGAGTTTTACCCATGACAGTTCAGCTCATGATCTTTGGAGTTTTACCCATGCCAGTTCAGCTCATGATCTTTAGCGTTTTCCCATGACAGTTCAGCTCATGATCTTTAGAGTTTTACCCATGACCGTTCAGCTCATGATCTTTGGAGTTTTACCCATGCCAGTTCAGCTCATGATCTTTGGAGTTTTACCCATGCCAGTTCAGCTCATGACCTTTGGAGTGTTACCCATGACAGTTCAGCTCATGATCTTTAGAGTTTTACCCATGAAAATTCAGCTCATGATCTTTGGAATTTTATCCATGACAGTTCAGCTTCTCTTTCACATGTAATTCGAGCTCTCCCACTATCTTCAAGCCCTCTCTAAATGACCTTTAAACTCTCCGGTGACCTTCAAATCATCTCTCACCTAACCAAACACTCTCTACTACGACGTTTAAACAATGTTATGACCTTCATACCTCCCCTTGAATGACCTCCAAACTCTCCCATGACCTTCAAGTTCTAGTTACATGATATTTAAACTCTTCCATGACCTTCATTCCCTCTTTCCCCTTGACCTTCAAGTCCTCTATGATACCACACCTCTCTCCTGTGACCTCTAGCCGTTGTCTCCTCTGACCTCCATCTCTATGACCTTCATTCTCTCCCCCCATGACCTTGAAACGGCCCTATTCCAGCCTGCGTGTGTTTTTAACTACTTTTTCATCGAATTTCCAGAACAGCGAGAAACATGAGACCAACAGCAGACGATTTCAATCAAACTATGGGTATCACGTGATCCAGCTCATGTTACACTCAATCACTCACCCCATTTAAGTTTCAGCCCCCCCCCCCCCCCCACTCCGCCCCACCCTCGTCCTTGTAGACGCACCCCCGCCCCAGTATTTGAGCCGACTCTCTGATTGCTCTTGTAGTAGCGGCACCGCCGAGGCCATGGGTTTTTTTTTCTTCAAGAAATCAAAGCCCGCGCTTTCTGGGAGGGCCAATATTGGCTTTCACGGACCTGCCGGCATAGCGGTCACAGAGGTTTTGGTGGCACCGTGATGCCGGGCAGAGGAAAGTTTTAGGGCAGTGTGGACTTACGCCGGGCAGAGAAATGTTTCAGGGTTCCGCGGACTTATGCCAGGCAGAAAAATAGTTTTAGGGCACTGTGGAAAGAAATGTTGTAATGACAATCTTATGATCATTATATAAACACTGAGCAGCACATAGAGCGTGACGCCACTTCCGGGCCTCTCATCGAGGTCTGGCACCAGCCACAACCAGCCGAGTAATCACGTGATAAGTGTGACCCCCATACACCGGGTGATTTGTTTGAGACTATATTTAATTGACCATACGTCCACAGCTCTAGATGCTAGACTAGCGACGTGCAAGAAAAAACAAACATCTCACCATCCACCTGATGACGTCACAGTTGATTGGCGTCTTGCGTATAAACGGAAGTGCCAACTGAGCCTGACCCGGTAGTGTTCTATACTTCGATGTGCCTCTAGATCCTGCTGTGTTTGCAAGCACTGGATACACCGAACCCATCATGCTCGGCCTACTGGTTGTCTGTGATACAGTACTCATCCTCAGGTAAGATTTTTATTCAACTCTTTTTACCAAGCACCGTGTCCGCTTTTTTTTATGGTTAAATAATACCTTCATTTTTTAGCGGAAACTTGGCAATATCAGGCTTTTAACAAAACCTTGACAAAATAAGATTTGTCACGAAAGTTGACAATACCAGATTTTTAACGAAAATGTATCAATGCTTTGTTTTCAACTGAAACTTGACAATACCAGATTTTTAACGCTATCGTCACATCGACCTTTAGCTTCTGAAATATCTATTTATATTTTGTGTGCATAACTTAGTAACATATCAGGTCAATCGGTTTTTATTATAGTTAAGAAAATATAGTTTTGTTTTCATATTTTTAATGAATTTAGAAGTTTGCTATCAGAGACGTTTTTAATTCTTTTACATTATTATAAACCTATTTACATATTGTAAAAATATAATATTAAGTCAATAAATAGTTTTATTAACAATTAGAATTATACTAGAAAATTTCCTAACCGAATCGAGTATTTAATCACTAATATTCTCTACTTAATACCTAGTATGTGACTCCATTAGAATCTCCCCACTAGAAGATTCCGTACCTTTATTAGCGACCATTTGGGCTCAATGGTCCTGATCAGCGGCGTAGCGAGGTCGGGTGTCACCCGGTGCGGCACTAAATGGTGTCATCCCCCCCCCCCCCCAGAGGCATAGCGACCCTTCCCGGGGACAAACTTTCAAATTTTCGATTTGCACCCCCCTCCCCCTCAAACTTTTGATTTGCACCCCCCCCTCAGACTTTCGATTTGCACCCCCCTCAAACTTTCGATTTGCACGCCCCCCCCCCTTCCCTCAAGTCTTTCTCTTTATATTTTGCTATTTTTTTGCCTTGGTGTCACCCCCCTAAATGGTGTCACCCGGTGCGGTCCGCATCCCCCGCCCCCCCCCCCCTTCTCGCTACGCCTCTGGTCCTGATATACCATCTCACCTGACTGAACCACTTAGTTATCACCTAATGTGTTGTACGAGTTAGTCATCTTCTTAATGTTTAAGACAAATCAATATTTGATCAGATTGAAAAATAGCAAACGTTTTTTTTGACAACACTAATGACTAGATAAAAGTATGTTTTAGACAGTATGTGTATCCATTCGCCCTACTGTCGTTAACATTATCTTATAAAAATAACTTTAAACATTATTTGCCCTTCATCAACTCAACTGAATTTGGTGCCATGTTGAAAAAGAAAATTGTATTACATAAAGTATCAATATTCTAGTTACTTCCCATTTTGTTAATCTCGTTACTTCAAGGGGAAAAACGCATGCATTTGTTTGGAAAAGTTGCTAATTAAATCTATAAATGCAATAATAGCAAAAAAGATAATGAATTTTATTAATCTTTTAATAATGCATATATCTTTAATTCGTATGCCAAATATTCTCAAATTTTATATTTCAAAGACATATTTAGCTATAGTTTTACACTAGTCTAAATAGAAAAACCATAGGCTTGTAAAGACGTAAATTTATACACTAGTGAAAAAATTTCTTACATTCAGTACTTACTTTGTTTCTCCGGAAAGTCTACTTCTATATAACTATGTGTTAAACTATTAATACTATTTTAAATGTTTAAAATAAATATAAACAAAATAAAAGAGTCGAAATAAGATGTGACGTGTTATTTATAAGTATAACATATGAAATCAGATGTCCGAAAGAAGTCTTACTATTCAAAATCTGTATTAGTCCTCACAAGCTGATGATGAAAACTGCAATACTAAAGCAAACATTGCATAGTAAATTGAATCATAAATGGAAAAAAAAGAAAAAAAAATCATTTTAATAAAATAGTTTGCGCAAATTTGGGGTACAATATTTACATAGGATCGTGAAACAATCTTGGTGGATACATTGTCTCAGGTTAGAGGTCCCACAAGGTGAAGCAAACGAAGTGACCTGTGTTTTTATTTACTGATGCTGTTAGAGAAGAGAAAGGTTAACATAAATATTAATAATTAACCAAAGACACGCCTTTGATGGCTAGAAACAGCTGATTTAACAAATTTCTACAATTAAAACAATTGGGATATATTTGTGGTCACAATCTACAGTAAACAAAATAATTAGATCTGAACCACTATTCATTTTTACAGTATTTATTTATTCCTTGTTCCTCTATTGCGGTCAGTTACTGTATCAATAAATGATTATACAATTTAAAAAAAAAAATATTTTAAAAAGTTCATGCTCCTTATAATATTATAATATGATTTCCCTTTAATCCCGAATTATTTATTTCTGCTCTATGAGCTTCTATTAGAAAGCAGTAAATAGGCGTCTGATGGTTGTTTTAGCGAATAGCAAGTGCTTTATCTTGTTATCTCTTCGTTTATTATAGAATTTAGTATCTTTACATTCAATTTTGATTATAATATAATTTCTAATTAGATTACAAATTAGATATTCTTGCACTGTCATCGGAGACGAGTGTATCCATTAAGTTGAAACGAAATGGCTCCATCAGTAGTGGGTTAAATACTGAGTTACGAGATTCTCAACAAACAAGCACACAAATAAACAAACACACAAACAAACAAGCACACAAATAAACAGACACACAAACAAACAAGTACACAAATAAATAAACACACAAACACACAAACAAACAAGCACACAAATAAACAAACACACAAACAAACAATCACACAACTAAACAAGCACACAAACACACAAACAAACAAGCACACAAATAAACTGACACACAAACAAACAAGCACACAAATAAACCGGCAGACACCGTACAGTAAATCAAAGCTTATCAAAAGGAAGGTGAGGTGAAAAGATTTTGAAAGCTTCTGATGGAAGTGACCATTCATGATCTGTCGCCCCCCCCCTCTTCCCCCCCCCCCCCCCCCCCACACACACACACAAAACGTGTCAGATCATGTCTCACCTGTATTTAGTTGATTTTATTCATGCCGATATATTTGCCGTGTCTCCGATGTAATGAACTGTAGAACCTTCAAATGTGGATTTTGATAAGCCTTGTCAAACGTTGTAGTTGTTTGATGATTTTATGGAACAAACTAGGCCTAGGACAGACTTAAATAACTTATACATTTTCATGGTTTTTCTATGAAATTAAATTCATATCAGAAACTGACATTATAAAAAGAATTAGGTAAATGTTATATTTTTCTAGAAATAAAAAAATAGGATACAAGAAAATAATCAGAAAGAAAGAAAATGACTAAAATAGTCACATGGTCAGTCAGAGCACAAAATAAACAAACTGGTTACATTAATACTTTTAGAATGTTTTGCTGCAAAATATAACTTGACTTTGTGTGCACGACATGACTTGGTGTACAATTTGACTTTGGGTGTACTTCTTAACTAGTTGTATAGCCTGATTTGGTGTAGATATCTTGATTTTGTGTACAACTTGACTTTTGTTTACTAATTGACTTTTGGTTTACAACTTGACTTTTGTTTACAACTTGACTTTTGTTTACAACTTGACTTTTGTGTACAACTTGACTTTTGTTTACAACTTGACTTTTGTGTACAACTTGACTTTTTTTTACAACTTGACTTTGTATACAGCTTGTCTTTATTTCTACAATATGACATTGTAACTACAATTAGACTTTGTGGACAACTTAACCGTGTGTGCACCTACACTTTGTGTACAACTTGACTGTGTGTACACCTAGACCGTGTGTACACCTAGACCGTGTGTACATCTTGACCATGTGTACACCTAGACCGTGTGTACAACTAGACTGTGTGTACACCTAGATCATGTGTACAACTCGACTGTGTGTACAACTAGACCGTGTGTACAACTAGACAGTGTGTACAACTTAACCATGTGTACACCTAGACCGTGTGTACACCTAGACCGTGTGTACAACTCGACTGTGTGTACAACTAGACCGTGTGTACAACTAGACCGTGTGTACAACTTAACCATGTGTACACCTAGACCGTGTGTACACCTAGACTGTGTGTACAACTCGACTGTGTACACCTAGACTGTGTGTACAACTTGACCGTGTGTACACCTAGACCGTGTGTACACCTAGACCATGTGTACAACTAGACCATGTGTACAACTTGACCGTGTGTACACCTAGAACGTGTGTACAACTTGACCATGTGTACACCTAGATTGTGTCCCCCCAGTGTGTCCCTGGCACAGATCATCCATGATGGGAAGACCGCCACCAACATCTCCTTCGTTCTCGACTCGCTGCTGGAGGGCTACGACAAGAGACTGCGTCCAGGTTTTGGAGGTCAGTCCCATCTTCAGGTCATGCTCCATTTCATTACACCATCTTCAGATCATGTTCCATTCATTGCACCGTTTGCAGATCATGTTCTATTTCATAACACCGTTTGCAGATCATGTTCTATTTCATTACACCATCTTCAGATCGTTCCATTTCATTGCACCGTTTGCATATAATGTTCCATTTCATGGATGCCCAATTTAATTTGAATAATTTATTATAATTTGCTCTATTTAATTCGGTAAATTTAGTTTAATTTTATGCCGTAATCGATTTCATTAATTTATTTTCATGTAATGCTCCGTGCGATTTTATTAATTTATTCTATTTAATGCTACCTTAAATTTTGAAATGTCTTATTTCTTTTAAAGACCCATTCAAACTGTATACCCCATGCATTGTTTGTGTGTTGCATTCAATTTCCAAAATTTTTCATGTATTTTAAAATTTATTAATTTTTTATTAAAATATCCTGTTTACATGTTCCAGTTTTAAAATGGGGTTTTAAATATCAGCTCTTTAAAATACAACACACACCTAAAGACAACGATAAATATGCATTTGTAAAAATAATTTTAGGCCTATACGAAAATGTATCAAGTAAAAAAAAAATAAAAACATACCATAAGTGTTGATAGTAAAATTAATTGAGCTGTGTCTATAAAATGAAAAACAATTTGGTAAATGTAAAGAAAATAGATTTTGATAAGATATTGATAAATTTGATCAACCATTTAATAAGATAATTATTTTTGTATAAATTGTTTGACCCAAGCTACGTAGACTTTATTGAATACTTACAACTGGCATAGTCTACTGACCAACTCAAGGCTAAACGTTCAGACTGACCTTTCATTCAGACGGAACAGGGGAATTAATTCACTGACTACGCGGGTCTTTCATATTAAATATCGAGTTGTAAGCCAAGGGGAACAACTCACTTAGCATGTAGCCAAGAGACGCAACTGTTTGAGTATGTAGACAAGGGACGCACATCGCTGAATACGTACACAAGGGATATAACTCGCCGAATATGTAGACAAGGGAAGCTACTCTCTGGAGCTGAATGAAATCTTTACAGCCCGCACAGAATCAGGACACAAGTCTGCTGATGGATGGGGTAAAAAATGTGAACATGGTCACGTGACGCTGATAAATCACATGTATTTGTTCTGTTCGATATATCACATGTATTTGTTCTGTTCGATATATCACATGTATTTGTTCTGTTCGCAAGAGCGGTAGAGCCTTTTCGAATACTTTGAAATCGACGAACAAGGAGACACACAAACCGTTAAAAATAAAACATAAAAGCATATTCAAAAGCTTGTATGGTGGGAGGAGGTTGAGGTCGTTACTATGGCAACCATGCAGGAAGCCGCTGAATAGTTCGTAGTGAGGGGCTGACCATTGGGTAGCCATTAGCTCGGGCTACAGAAATGACGAGCGAATGCTACCTAGGTTAAGGGGGTCTGGATATGACCCCACACAGGAATAACAAGATAGTCCCTTGACCAGTGGGTAGCTATTAGCTCGGGCTACAGAAATGACGCATATGAACCCACACGCTGGAATAACAAGAGAGTCCCTTGACCAGTCCCACTCAGCTGACCAGCTCTAACATTTCAACACACGTCGATGCAACAGCCTCATGTAGGATCATGTAACTGTCATAACGCCCAATCGCAACAGGATATCCGGTCTGTGAGGCTAGTACCACATCGTTTCCATAACAACCCATGACCTCTAGATAACACCCCGTATGATCACATCCGGTTCCCCTTATATCCCCCCTGGGCTTTGGGTAGCTACATCAAATAGAAAAAAATAACCAGCTTCTAATACATTCCGCCAGTCAGCTAACTATGACATTCTACGTCTGCTCTAAAATTATTTCCTAGAGTGTGCCCCCCCCCCCACCTTCTCCCCCCCCCCCCCCCTCCCAAATTTTATTTTTGAAGGGCGTTGGTCACGCAAGTGAAGCAACTTGTTAGCTTGGCTGTCACGTATTTCGTCTATTAGAACGTTCATTAACTATCCTCGCCCAGCATCTCCAATTACTCCCGGAGCCTCTTTTTGAACAGAGTTAGTGGCCTTTCACGGTTAAGGGCCTTGTACTTTCTTAGAGAGTATCGTCCCTTGCCAGTAATCTATTGTAACCGATTTTTTTTTACAACTCACAATAATTTTTTTTTTTTTAGAATTGACTCGTTAGATGATCTGACGTTATGTTTTATTCATGTTAATCTACGAGTGAGTACTCTCTGGTGTACGTCGTACCCGTGCACGGTGTTCTGCCGTAAACATGTTTTTATTTTTATTACATTGAACGAAATACAAGTATTTGACAAAAAAAGGAGAAAAGCTCACTAACAATAAAAAGTTGAATAAAGAAAACACCACACGAAACAAAACAGTTATACATCATTGCATTGAACACTGTAATCTTTTTGTACTTTGTACCGAAATTATGATTGAGATAGGCCTACTTTGTAATATTGTCTTTAGAGTATATGTAGGAGTGGTTGGCTAAGTAAAAGTAGAGATGAAATAAAATATTTGGGAATTGCTGGATTATGGTAAAAATGGAGGTAATTACATAAAACAAATTAAAAAGTCTCTAGAGTAATAAACTTTTAAATGCACTGAAAAAAATGAAACACTTGCCCTCTTTAATAAAAAATTTGGTCGCTCATGAGATCTTTTAACAAATTTAGCGCGTAAAAGTGATTGTTTTTTTTCCCAAGAATTATCATAGCATCCCATTTCAATCTCAAAAGGCGTGATTTTAACTTTTCCATTGGGATTGTATATATCTTATCTTGCGTGTAGGGTTCCATTTGTTAGGTGTAATTATAAGCGTGTTTTATCATAGAAGAACGAACTTTAAGATGTGGATGTGGGGTGGCAAGCAGAACAACAAAAGTCCAAATTTCCACCTTCAGTATTTAACATTTTAACCTCGAGTGTATTCCGACTGACAGGTTGAATCCAAACATGCCACATTTGCCAATTTCGCCAGATTTAACTCACGAACAAAACCCATCGAAGGACCGGAAGTAAACGTCACCAGACGACAGACATGCGCACTGCAGGACTGGCCTGTTAACGACATTAGTAGATCCGTAGCTCAAAGAATTGATGACGTTTTCGACCAGAATTGTCCGCTGATGAAAAGAAAACTTCACTAACAAAGTTAAAGTAGTTGGACTACACGATTCACGGCGGCTGCTTGTTAGGTTACTCGCTACCCGCTAGATGCTAGCGCAGCAAAGTTCCTTTCTTGATAACCCAGCAGCAGGTATTATAGCAAAGACATTTTTTGTTCAGGGGAGGGGGGGGGGAGGATTTGATATTTCAAGTATATATTTTCTAATCAAATTATTTTTAGCTCGGGGGGGGGGTGACTGAAAGAAACAATGTTCCTGGCTAAAAAATATAATCGTTGACCAGTAACATTTGGCTGAGAATGTTGTGTACAGCGTTTGTTGCCAACAACGGTTACAGCAGTGTTGTTGGTATTGTGTAATGGTTACAGCACTGGTGTTCGGTATTGTGTAATGTCACACCCATCTTTACCTATCATTATAGACGTATCTTTTGTTTAGGGTGTGGTGGAAAAGGCCAACTTATCACATGAGCTTAAGTAACTAATTAAATCTAATAGAGCATTTTTATAGACAAATTATATAAAAGAAGTTATCAGATTTTACCCTACTTCATTTTTCACTTTCAAAAAAATCCTGAGAATTGTTGTATCATTTTTATTAAGCAGCATATTCTAAGAAATGCTCGCTCGATGGTTTAGTCACAAACCAGCCCAGACCCTGCTGATATAGACGAATTTAAAATAAACTTTAGGGGAGCTTACTACCGCTGTTTTCGTTGTAGGGTTAAACAAGAGCCACCCCACATCTAGACACCGCACATCTAGACAACCCATACCTAGACACCCCACATCTAGACACCCCACATCTAGACACCGCACATCTAGACACCCCATACCTCACCCCACACCTAGACACCCCACACCTAAACAACTCACACCTAGACACCCCACACCTAGACACCCCACACCTAGACAACCCATACCTAGACACCCCACATCTAGACACCCAACATCTAGACACCCCACATCTAGACACCCCACATCTAGACACCCCATACCTCACCCCACAACTAGACACCCCACACCCAAACAACTCACACCTAGACAACCCATACCTAGACACCCCACATCTAGACACCCAACATCTAGACACCCCACATCTAGACACCCCATACCTAAACAACTCACACCTAGACACCCCACACCTAGACACCCCACACCTAAACAACTCACACCTAGACACCCCATACCTCACCCCACACCTAGACACCCCACACCTAGACACCCCACACCTAGACACCCCACACCTAAACAACTCACACCTAGACACCCCACACCTAGACACCCCATACCTCACCCCACACCTAGACACCCCACACCTAAACAACTCACACCTAAACAACTCACACCTAAACAACTCACACCTAGACACCCCACACCTAAACAACTCACACCTAGACACCCCACACCTACTTCTGACTAAAATAAAGTTCCCTTTTCAAACCTGACGGTCTATATGGCAAGTGATGTAGAGTTCACTTGTTTCTGTGACCTCGGCATATGAAAATATAGTATGGTCAGCACTATGCTACTTCTGAATACCCAAACACAAGTAGCGACCAACAAGCCTCCCCCATCCCACCATCACCATATTTACCTCACACATTACGTCCACGCTTTCCTATGGCTAAACAAACATGTGGTGAAGTACTCTTCCCTGGTGTAATATTGACATACCAATAGCCTCACCCACACCCCTCCCATAACCCCACCCACACAACAACCGTAACCCCACCCCATCTCACCCATAACCCCAGCCACACCACACCCATAACCCCGCCCACAAAACGCCCAATACACCCATAACCCAACCCACACCACACCCATAACCCCA